CAGGACGCTGTCGTCCATCTTCTTGCTGAAGGCCTTGAAGATGTCCACGCGGTCCTCCACATCCTGGAGGTCTTGGTGCTCCGTAGGGATCTGAAAGGTGAGCAGAAAGCTGGCACCCACCAAATCGTCCTTCTCGGCCCGGCGTTTGCCCATCTTCCACTGCTTATCATCCCGGCAGCTGAGAAAATGCTGGAAGCCTTCATACTGGGACAGCACGGGGTGGCTGGTCATGTGATCCATCCAGAGAATCAGCCTGCGTTTCCGCTTGGCGATGAAATCCTCTTCGAAGCGGCCGGTGGCCTGCTTCTCTGGCAGGTGGGGCACGGAGATGACCGTGAACTTGTGCAGCAGGCGGTTGTACAGCCAGTCGAAGTGTTTGTAGCGCCGGTAGACGGGCGAGCTGGCATGGGTCGGCGTGAGTTTGTAGGAGATGTAACTTTTGATGCCTTTGAACTTGGTCTGCTTGGTTGGGTCCTCCACCGAGCAGGCAAATGGGTGCGGGTTGGCCTTCCACTGGGGGCCCCGAGGACCCATCTCGATGGAGTAGGTCTCGGCAATCTTGGCCATCATGGGCACATCCCCCAAGATGAAGGCCTCCACCCCGGATCGCACGAAGCAGGAGAAGCGGTTCAGATTGCGGCCTACCACGCTGCCTCGCTTGGCAGAGGCCAAGCTGTCCTGGCGCTCCAGGGGCGGCTTGGGCCGGAAGGCCATGTGCTGGGTGGGGTAGGCGCCCGGATAGGACAGGTTGAGCGGGGGGTGCCCATTGGTGCCCAGCCCGCCAGCCCGGGGCTCTTCCACCACCGTGCACCCGTCATCCCAATCGTCCCAGTCGTCATCGTCATCTTCCTCGAAACTGCCCGGGTTGGAGTACAAGCCCGCGCCGCTCCGGGCCGGGCTGGCGACCCCAGGGCTGCTGGGCAAACCCACCGGGGCGCCCGGGGGAGGGCTGGCGGGGCGGCCGGCCGGCGGCTTCTCCGCAGGGTCCGTGCCGGCGGCGTCGGGCTGGACGATCTCCACGTACGAGGCCGGGAAGAGCCCGGTCTCCCCGCGGCTGTTTTGTCCCTGCAGCCAGCCATCCAGAGAGTTCTCGCTGAAGACCACCAGCTCCTCGTCCTGCTGGATGCTGATCTCCTCCTGGTTCTCGCTGTGGAAGTCGTACAGGGCGCGGCCTTTCAGGGCCATGGCTGGGCCGGTGGGGTCGGGGTGGGGGTCCCCGCGGCGCTGGGCTCAGGGGTGCGTGTCAGCCGGCGGCGGCTCGTCCGGGACGATCGGCCTCCTCACGCCGCTGGCCATGGCCCGGGAGCGGCCGCCCGGCGTGGGGCGGCCCGGCGTGGGGCGGCCCGGCGTGGGGCGGCCCGGCGTGGGGCGGGGAGGCCTGCGGGCCTCTCCCCTCCTTCTCCCCCGGGGAAGTGGGGCGTGGGGGGGGCTGCGATCGCGCTCCCGACGGCGGAGGCTGCGGACCCGGGAGGCAGCTCGGCGGCAGGGCTGGAAAACAGGGGGGCAGCCACGTCGGCCGGCGGGTCCCGCGCGGATCGGCCCTGCCCCCCGCCCCGGTGCCCCCCCCCGCCCGCCCCGGTGCCCCCCCCGCCCCGGTGCCCCCCCCCCGCCCCGGTGCCCCCCCCGCCCGCCCCGGTGCCCCCCCCGCCCCGGTGTCCCCCCCCGCCCGCCCCGGTGCCCCCCCCGCCCCGGTGCCCCCCCCCGCCCGCCCCGGTGTCCCCCCCCCCGCCCGCCCCGGTGCCCCCCCGCCCGCCCCGGTGTCCCCCCCCGCCCGCCTCGGTGCCCCCCGCCCGCCCCGGTGCCCCCCCGCCCGCCCCGGTGCCCCCCCGCCCGCCCCGGTGCTCCCCCCCGCCCCGGTGCCCCCCTCCCCCCGCCCCGGTGCTCCCCCCGCCCCGGTGCTCCCCCTTCCCCCCCCGCCCCGGTGCCCCCTCCCCCCGCCCCGGTGCTCCCCCTTCCCCCCCCCCGCCCCGGTGCCCCCCTCCCCCCCGCCCCGGTGCTCCCCCCCCGCCCCGGTGCCCCCCTCCCCCCGCCCCGGTGCTCCCCCCCCCGCCCCGGTGCCCCCCCGCCCCGGTGCCCCCCCCCCCCCGCTCCCGGGCCCCGCGGCCGGGCCCCCGATGCGCCGGGCCGGGCCGGGCCGGGCGAGGACCCGCGACCTCGGGGCGCCCGCCGGGGCCCCGCCGCCTCTTCTGTTCGTCCTCCCCCCGATCCCCCCCCCCCCCGCCTTCCGAGCCCGAGACTAACCCGGATCCGAGTGCGAGGACGCTGCGGAGGGCGGAGGGGCCCCGCGCGCCCCGGCCCCGCCGCGGTTCGCGGGGCTCCGGCTCCGCAGCGCGGGCCCTGGGCCTCCTGCGCCCGCCGCGGTCCGACCGGCCGGAGACGCTGGGGGGCAGCGGCGCCCCGCACCCCGGGCTCCCGCACGGCCAGCCCCTGGGCGCCGCCAGCGCCAAAACAAAAAGGCGACTCCGGGAGGCGGCGGCGTCCCCGGGAGGAGGAAGGGCCGGGCAGGGGAGGGGACGGGGAGCGGAGGGGAGGGCCGGGAGCGGACCGGGGAGGAGAGGGAGGAGACCGGGGACGGGAGGGGAGAGGGGCGGGGACAAGGGAGGGGAGGGGAGGGGAGGGAAGAGGGGAGGGGGGGAGGGCAGAGGGAAGGGGAGGGGAGGGAGGACGGACCGGAGGCGGGCGCGGGACAGACTCCGAGGCCCCCCCTGCGCCCCAGCTGGGCCGGGCCCCGCCCCCCTGCGATCCCGGACGCCCCTCTCGCTCCCCCATTCCAAGTCCCCACCTTCTGCTCGCTCAGCCCCGGAGGTGAGAGTGGGGAGACAGGCACGGGGAATCGGGGTGCATCCTGACTTAGGGGAGCTGGCCTGACCTCTGGGGCACCCGGTTACCCTAGGGCAAAGGGAAGTCAGCACATGGCAGGCCGGCAGGAGCCTGTGAGGTGGGGTGGGGGCTGCAGCGGTCATCAGGTCACCACCAGATGATAGGACCCCCTGCCCTGGGAAACCTCCATGATGGGGAGGGGGAGGAGCACTGGACCCCACTGCAGCCAGAGGAACAGGGAGGCGCAGAGTTGTGGGGTCCCGTGGTGGTCTGCCAGAGCAAGCTGGGTTTGGCCTTCCCTTCCCTTAGGGGTGCAGGTGTCACTTTTGTGGTGGTTTTTTGTGGGGAGGGAGGAGGGTGGTAGAGTTTGGGGTGTTTTGTTTTGTGTTTCTTCCTTGCTCAGCTAGCTTGGCTGGCACTCTACCACTTCAGCCAAGACACTTCTAGTCCTGCTTTTTTGCCAGTGGGTGTGTGTGGGTGTGCGCACATGACCACACATGCCAGCCAGTCCTTGCTCAGGGCCTAAGTAAGCAAGGTCCCTTAGCTCTTTTGTTCAAGCCCAGAGTTCAGGCCCAGGACTGACAAAAAAAAAAAAAGAGGGGCTGAGAAGGTGGCTCAGTGGTAGAGCACTTGCCTTGCATGCCAGAGGCCCTGGGTTCGATACCTCAGCACCACATAAGCAAAAAGTAAAAAGCCGGAAGTGGCGCTGTGGCTCAAGTGGTAGAGTGGTAGTCTTGGGGAAAAGAAGCTCAAGGACAGTGCCCAGGCCCTGGTTCAAGCCCAGAACTGGCAAAAGGAATGAAGGAGGGAAGGAAGAAGGAAGGAAAGGAAGGAAGGAAGGAAGGAAGGAAGGAAGGAAGGAAGGAAGGAAAGGAAGGAAGGAAGGAAGGAAAGAAAGAGAAAGGTTTGACAGGAGCCAGCAGCTTACACCTATAATTGTAGGTACTCATGAGGCTGAGATCTGAGGATTGGAGTTTGAAGTCAGCCTGGGCAAACAATTCTCTAATTAGCCAGCAAATAGTCAAAGTAAAGCTCAAGTGAAAAAGGTAAGCAAGAGCTCAAGGCCCATGTTCAGGATCTCCACCCCCAAAATGTTTTGTGAATAAGACTCAGGAGGATAATCTCAAGATCCCTCTCTCTCTTTTTTCTTCTTTTTTCCAGTGCTGTGCATTCAACCTGGAGCCTCATGCATGCACCACCAAAGGAGAGTAGAATAGTATTACAGTATATCTAGGGACTCATGTATAAAGATACTATTCTAAACAAAAGGAAACAGTAAACAACACAATTCAGAATTATCTTTCTCTCTGGGGAGGAGTGGTTGGGATAGGTAGATGAAATGATGGTGGCACTACGTAAATTAGCTATTCAGTTCATGAGTATTCATCATAGGTAATTTATGGTACATACATATTTTCCAGATATCACATACCATACGTTTTAAGACAATGGAAAACGTACAAAACAAAATGATCAATGACAAAGCTAGGTGGCGTCAAAGGCCTGAGAAAACGCTACGCTCACAGCTGTTAACGAGCCTAGCGTTAAATAATTTGGCAACTCCCCGCACAGCTGCCAGCAACCCAATCCATCAGGCTAATTCACTTGCGCACAGTCCAAAGGGTTAGAACTTGTAATTATAGCTACTCAGGGGGCTGAGATCTGAGGATCTCGGTTCGAAGCCAGCCCGGGCTGGAAAAATCCGTGAGAATCTCATCTCCAATGAACCACCAAAAAGTTCAAAGTGGAGCTGTGGCTCAACTGGTAGAACGCCAGCCTTGAGTGAAAAATGCCTAGGGACAATGCTAATGCTCTGAGTTCGATCCCCAAGACGTGTGTACGCGCGCGCGCACACACACACACACACACACACACACACACACACACACACACACACACACACAGAGAAATGAGTGGAAACGATGAACACAATTAGAGGAACATTCTTGGCAACTGAAAACCGCGCAGAGTCGTAGCAGCACGCGTTCACCTCAGGCCGCAAGGCTTCCGCCTCGCTCCGCCAATCAGAAGTAGAAATACTCGATCTACCCATTAGAGGCGTGTCCAATTTTGACCAATAGGAAGTTGAATGGGCGTGGCCACAAGCAGCCTCTCTTTCATTGGCTCAGAGTTGTCTGGGGAGACCGCCCCCATCCCTAGTCCGGTCGCTGCAAGGCGGAAGTCACGCGAGCTTCAGAACGGGATCTTAGCTTCGCGTCTCGTCGTTCCGGCCGCCGCCGCCGCCGTCGCCATCATGGTGCGGAAGCTCAAGTTCCACGAGCAGAAGCTGCTGAAGCAGGTGGACTTCCTGAACTGGGAAGTGACCGACCACAACCTGCACGAGCTGCGCGTGCTGCGGCGGTACCGGCTGCAGCGGCGCGAGGAGTACACGCGCTACAACCAGCTGAGCCGCGCGGTGCGCGAGCTGGCGCGGCGGCTGCGCGACCTGCCCGAGCGCGACCCGTTCCGCGCACGCGCGTCGGCCGCGCTGCTGGGCAAGCTGTACGCGCTGGGCCTGGTGCCCACGCGCGGCTCGCTGCAGCTCTGCGACGCCGTCACCGCCTCCGCCTTCTGCCGCCGCCGCCTGCCCACCGTCCTGCTCAAGCTGCGCATGGCCCAGCACCTGCAGGCCGCCGTGGCCTTCGTGGAGCAGGGCCACGTCCGCGTGGGCCCCGAGGTGGTCACCGACCCCGCCTTCCTCGTCACCCGCAGCATGGAGGATTTTGTCACCTGGGTCGACTCGTCCAAGATCAAGCGGCACGTGCTGGAGTACAACGAGGAGCGCGACGATTTCGATCTGGACGCCTAGTGGGTCTCCCCGCTCCGACCTTCCTCTGTTCCCCTCCCTCCCCTGCCCACAGCCGCCTCTGACAGATGGGTAAACTGAGGCCAGAGACGCTGAGTCTGCCGCTCTCCAAGGGTGTGTTCACCGATCGTGGGGCCTCCCCTCACCACAGCTGCCTCTGACGTGGGGGACACCGAGGCCGGAGATGCTGCGTCTGCCCTCCCCGAGAGTGTGTTCACTGATGGTGAGGCCTCCCTCTCGCCTCAGCTGCCTTTGACAAATGGGTAAACTGAGGCCAGAGACGCTGAGTCTGTCCTCCCCAAGACTGTTGAGCGTGGGACCTTCCTCTTGCCATAACTACTATTGACGGAACTGAGGCCGGACACGCTGAGTCTGCCCTCCACGAGTGTGTGTTCACCGATCGTGGGTCCTCCTTCGCCACAGCTGCCTCTGACAGATGGGGAAATTGAGGGCAGAAACTGAGTCCTCGAAAGCGTTCACCGACCGTGGACCCATTAGCAAATGGGGAACCGAGACGAGAGCCGCTGAGAGAGTATTAGTGAATTGCAGCTCCTGAACTTCGAGCCACAGACCTCAAGTACTTGGGGGTAGGGAATATCGTCTCTGTTACCCATGAGATTTTCTTACAACTTGGACAACTAGATTTAAATGACCACCTTTGGGACACACTGGGAAACAGTTTGTACTGCAAAGTGGATTTTTTTTTTTAACTTCTTGGGGCCAAAATGGTGTAAATAGCCCCTGCTCCCCCTCCTTTGTCGTTTTGAATCAGGACTGTTTGGGGTTCAGTTTATTTAATTGGACACTTACTCCCTTCTGAGATTCAGCTATGTACAGTTGGCGAGTTTGGGCTTAAGTTTCCATAAAACAAGTGGGGAGTTTAATATTCAAGGTCCTCTTCCTCTTAAGAAGCAATGTTATTTCCCCCCAATATCAATAAATGGCCATAGTCTCTGCAAGTGCGTTTTGGTGTGTGTGTGTGTGTGTGTTGTTTTAATGTTATGTGTGCATGCAGGCTTGGCTGCTGTCCCTTAGCTTTTTCTACCACTTGAGTCACAACACTATATTCAGCTTTTTGCTGGTTCTTTGGAGATAAGTCTTAGACTTAGTCCTGCCCAGCCTGGCTTTGAACTGCCATCCTCAGAACTTAGTAACTGGGTTTACAAGTGTGAGCCACTAGCACCAGGCTCTAACTGATCTCACATAGTTTTGTAGGTGCAGGTTCTAGCTTGGGAGCTGAGAGGAATAACCTGAGTGAGGTCTACAACTGGGGCCTCACATGGAGCCTACAGGATGTACTAGGCTGGGCAGATTTGTCACTGTTCCAACCTTTTCTGGGAATGAATGTTTCGGCTGAGTTCTTCTCCACAGGATTTCCTGTTGATACTCTAGCCCCAGGAAATACCATATTAAGAGGACTGAAGGATTTGCTTGCCTAAGGAAATAATCACCCTGTAGCTTGGCCATCTAGTGGTTAGAAGTGGCCCAGGAGGTTTCTAAAAACAGATGTTCTTAAAAGCCATTGAGAGACCTGGAAATGTAGCTTAGTGATGCAGCTTGTGCTTAGCATGTTCAGAGCCCTGTTCAATCCTGGGCATGCTCACTACCATTTGAAAGGAAAAGAGCCAGGCACTGTTGGCTCACACTTGTAATCCTAGCTACTCAGGAGACTGAGATCTGAGGATCACAGTTCGAAGCCAGCCTGGGAAGAAAAGTCCCCCTGAGACGTCTCTAGTTAACCACTCAAAAACCAGAAGTGGCCGGGCACTGGTGACTCATGCTTGTAATCCTACTTAGGAGGCTGAGATCTGAGGATCTCGGTTCAAAGCCAGGCTGGGCAGGAAAGTCCATGAGACTCTTATCTCCAATGAACTGGAAAACTGGGAGTGGTGCTAAGGTTTAAGCAGTAAAGTGCTCGTCTTGAGCTGAAGAGTGCAGGAAGAGCGCCCAAGCCCAGAGTTCAAGCCCCACAACCAACCAAAAAACAAAACAACAAAAAACAGAAGTGGAGCTGTGGCTCAAAGTTGTAGAGCACTAGCCTTGAGCAAAAGAGATCAGAGACAGTGCCCAGGCTCTGACTTCAAGCCCCACCCCCCCCCCCCACAAAAAAAGGGCTGGGAAGGTGGCTTAGTGGTAGAGTGCTTGCCTTGCATGCATGAGGTCCTGGGTTTGATTCCTCAGCACCACACAAGCAGAAAGCTAGATAGTGGCACCGTGGCTCAGGTGGTAGAGCGTTAGCCTTGAGCTGAAGAGCTGAGGGACAGTGCCCAGGCCCAGAGTTTAAGGCCCATGATCGGCAAAAAAAAAAAAGAATTTAAGAACAATGCCAAATTTTATACCAAACTAAAACAAAAATATATGGATTGCTGAGACAAGTGAGTAGCTTTGTGTGTGAGTGCATGCAAGTGTGTGTGTGCACGTGCACCTGAACTAGGCCTTTAAGGGCCAGGATACTGTCCCTTAGCTCTGTTGCCTAAGGCTCATGCTCTACCATTTGACTCATACCTCTACTTCTGCCTTTTTAGTAGTTAATTGGAGAAAATAGTCTTCTCTTGAGCTGGTCATAGGTGGCTTGTTTCTAATCCTTGCTACTCAGAAGGCTAAGTTCTTTTTTTTTTTTTTTCTGATCATGGGGCCTGAACTCTGGGCCTGGGCGTTGCACCTCAGCTCTTCAGCTCCAGGCTAGCGCTCTACCATTTAAGCCACAGCAACACATTTAAGCCATAGCAACACTGTGTATGTGGTACTGAGGAATCGAACCCACAGCTTTATGCATGCTAGGCAAGCACTCTATCACTAAGCCAATCCCAATCCAAGAAGGCTAAGTTCTGAAGATAATGGTTCCAAAAAGCTAGCCTGGAGAGGAAAGTCCCTCAGACTCTTCAATAAATTACCTCCCCCCAAAAAGCCTGAAGTGGAACACTGTCTCAAGTGGTAGAACATAAGCCTTGGTCAAAAGAACCTCAGGGTCAGCACCCGGGTCCTGAGTTCAAACCACAGGATCAACAAGAAGGAAAATAGGATTACTGGCTTGAGCAACTAATTTTTTAAAATTAAGTTACAAATTTAGAAGAGGGGCCTATCAAAATCAGGAGGGGGGACTGGGAAGGTGGCTTGGTAGAGAGCTTGCCCAGCATGCATGAAGCCCTGGGTTTCATTCCTCAGTACCACATACTCAGAAAAAGCCAGAAGTAGTGCTATGGCTCAAAGGGATAGAGTGCTAGCCTTGAGCCAAAGAAGCTCTGGGATAGTGCCCAGGCCCTGAGTTCAAGCCCTAAGACTGGCAAAAACAAAAAGATAAAAAATTAAAAAAATCAGTAGTGGATCATGTAAATCTGTTTTATCCTTTGAGATAAACTATTGGATGGGTAAAGACCAAAACAATGAAAAATATATCTGGCAAAAGGAAGTGCTGAAGGTTACCACCTGGGATTCTGCCCTTCTTACCCACTCAGAGCAATAAGGATCAGCGGTTGCTAGATATCTAGACCTTGTGTATTTACCCAGTTCAAAAGTGTATTCGCCAGCCGGTGCTGGTGATTCATGCCTATAATCTTAGCTACTCAGGAGGCTGAGATCTGAGGACTGAGGTTCAAAGTCAGCCTGGGCAGGAATGTCCATGAGACTCATCTCCAATTAACTACTAGAAAACCTGAAGTGGCACTGTGGCTCAAATGGTAGAGCACTCATCTTGAGCTGAAGTGCTGAGGGACAGCACCCAAACTCACAATTGAAAAAAACAAAACAAAACAAAAACTGAAGGACAGCACCCAGGCCCTGAGTTCAAGTCCCCAAACCCCTTCCCCTATCTGAATTTGGTGGTGATTATAAGCACATCAATAAATAACAGATATAAAACATTTTCATGTACTTCAACTCACTAAAAACATGAACTCCATGCTGCCCAGAGCATATTAACACATTTATTTTCAATTAATAAATGTCGCTTTTAAAACTTTGAAAAAAAAAAAAAGTACAGATGGTTACTGCCATTTTGTCTTTAACTCCTATTTCCTGGGAACAGGAAATGTCTTTCCTATTTTTCTTTATAGAATAAAATTTTCCTTAAACTTTCACCTTGTAAGACTTCCCTGAAATGCTTTTCATAAGTGGATCTCAAGGACTCCTGACATGGGCTGGGAAGGTGGCTCATTGGTAGAGCGCTTGCCTTGCATGCGTGAGGCCCTGGGTTCGATTCCTCAGCACCACATAAGCAAAAAGAAAAAAGCCGGAAGTGGCGCTGTGGCTCAAGTGGTAGAGCGCTAGCCTTGAGCTGAAGAGCTGAGGGACAGGGCCCCAGGCCCAGAGTTCATGCCCCACGGCCAGACCCCCCCCAAAAAATGACTCCTGACTTTCAGTGGAAATGGGAGAGCTAAGTTTACAGCTTCATAACATCTCCAAAGGAATGCAAATTCAGGAATCCCATTTTTTTTTTTTTTTGGTCAGCTATGGGGCTTGAACTCAGGGCATGGGCACTGTGCTCAAGGCTAGCTCTCTACCAATTGAGCCACAGCTCCACTTCTGGTTTTTGAGTGATTAATTGGATATGAGTCATATGGGGATTGCTCGGAGCTGGCTTTGAATGGCAATCTTCAGATCTCAGGCTCAAGAGTACCTAGGATTACAAGTGTGTGACACCTGTGCCTAGCATGTATTTTTGTTGGTGGTGGTCACCACTTCCGGTTTTCCAGTGGTTTATTGGAGATGAGTCTTTGGACTTTCCTGCCCCGGCTGGCTTTGAACCGTGAGCTTCAGATCTCAGCCTCGAGTTAGCTAGGATCACAGGCGTGAGCCACCGCGGCTTTTTCTGTTTATGTGGTGCTGAGGAATCAAACCCAGGGCTTGGTGCATGCTAGGCAAACACTCTAACGCTAAGCTACACTCCCAGCATCCTCAGTAACTGGGATGACAGGCACCCTCCAGCTGTTTTTTGCTTTTTGGGGTTTTTTTTGCTGGTTAAGATGTGGCTTCCTGCCGAAGCAAGCATGTCAGTAATGGAGTTGGGGCTTGAACTCAGGGCCTCACACTCTTAGCTTTTTCACTCAAGGCTAGCGCTCTACTATTTGAGCCACACTTCCATTTACCCAACTTTTTTTTTGTTTTGGTCCGTCGTGGGGCTTGAACTCAGAACCCGAATGTTGTCCCTGAGTACTTTCCCTCAAGGCTAATGCAATATCACTTTGGGCCACAGGGCCATTTCTGGTCTTCTGGTCTCTTAACTAATTCCTGTTTATCTGCTCTATAATAATAATTTGCTATTATTACTAATAATTTACTCTTTAAACACTGAGCAAATTCAAACATCGGACTCAAGATTTGTGTACCTTTGGCCAAGTTACTTTACCGAGCTTCCGTTTTCGGAATATAACTTACACCTTACACCTAATCTGAACATAATAACAGGAAGAAATAACTCCTATCTGAAGGTTAACTGAGCCAAGATTCTGGCTCAGTGTAGGCATTCAACCAAACAGCTATTCACGTTTGGACGTTCCATCTCGGTTCTAGTCAGCAGAGGCCGCGCGGGAACTGGCTGAGTCCTGAATCCCGGTGTCCGGCGGCCTCCACACACCTCACGCCGCCATCCCTGCCCCCGGCGAGGGGCGCGGCGCCAGGCGTGGCATCGCGGCCAGGCCCACAGCCGGAAGCCGCGGCGTGCGGCTGGTGCTGACCAGGAGTCCGCTGGCCCCCAGCGTGGGGCGCGTCGGGGGGGGGGGCAGCGTGGGAGAAGCCGGCCCGGGATGGTGGGCGCGTGGGAGAAGCCGGCCCGGGATGGTGGGAGCGTGGGAGAAGCCGGGGCCGGGATGGTGGGCGCGTGGGAGAAGCCGGCCCGGGATGGTGGGCGCGTGGGAGAAGCCGGCCCGGGATGGTGGGCGCGTGGGAGAAGCCGGGGCCGGGATGGTGGGCAGCGTGGGAGAAGCCGGGGCCGGGATGGTGGGCAGCGTGGGAGAAGCCGGCCCGGGATGGTGGGCAGCGTGGGAGAAGCCGGGCCCGGGATGGTGGGCGCGTGGGAGAAGCCGGCCCGGGATGGTGGGCGCGTGGGAGAAGCCGGGCCCGGGATGGTGGGCAGCGTGGGAGAAGCCGGGGCCGGGATGGTGGGCAGCGTGGGAGAAGCCGGCCCGGGATGGTGGGCGCGTGGGAGAAGCCGGGCCCGGGATGGTGGGCAGCGTGGGAGAAGCCGGGGCCGGGATGGTGGGCGCGTGGGAGAAGCCGGCCCGGGATGGTGGGCGCGGCCTTCGGGACCGAGACGGGACGCACGGTGCTGACCGACGGGCCGCGAGGTCCTAGCTCCTCCTACTGGCGAGAGGAGCCTCGAGGAGTCAGAATGCAGGAATGACGGGGACCGGGAGCCGCGGAGAGCCCCAGGACGGCAGGGACGAGACGCGGCCAAAACCATCCCGAAGCAAGGAGGGGGGCGGGTCTAAAGCCGCGGTCCTGAAACCGGAAGCCCCGCCCTCGGCCACCGGAGAAGCGCCAGACACTAAGGGCCGAAGCTGTGCGCTGCATCGACTCCCCCCAAGTCCCGGCATGCACCGCGGTGGGCGGAGCCGGAACTCGGAAAGCGTGGCCTTATAGGCCCCCATGCCGCGTTGGGGGACCAATAGGTGGGTCCAAGCCCTGCGGGGGCAGCTGATTGGCCAGTTCTCGGAGGCGGAGCCGGCGGCGGCGCGTGCCTAGCCTCCGCGGTCCGGTGAGTCCCGAGTTCCCGGGTGATCCCCTCTGGGTCCGGAGTGGCCCTTCTGCGCGGGCAGTGTCTCCTTGGCGTCTCCGTACGCTCATGTCTCAGGGCGTCAGCTGTGGGGGGCGCGGGACCAGGCCGGAGCCCCCCCTTTGGCTCGTTTCCGGTGCCCCGAGGGGGACTTCTGTGGTTGGGGGCGACCTCAAGCCAGGTCTGGGCGTCGCAGTCGCTTGGGAGAGGCGGGGCGGGGCGGGGCGATGCGGGGCGGGGCGGGGCGGGGCGGGGCAGTGCGGCGCAGGTAGAGCCCTAGTGGTGGGGTCCCGAGCCGGGGCCAGTGGGGTAGGGACAGGGGGAGACCAGCACGGGCGTCCTCGGGTGCAGATGCGGTCACCTGCGGCTAAGATCCGGACTCTGAGGTGGACAGCACCATCCCGGAGGGGTCTGGGCGCCCAGGAGCCAGGCCAGGGCCTTGAAGCAAACAGGGATCCCTGGCGTGCCCCGGGCGTCAACTTTAAGGATTTTTGTGGTTCTTGGCGGAGCAGGAGCTAATATCCAGGTAAAGAATGATAGGTCCTAATAAAAAGATGATTTGGTCATTACTTTTTTTTTCTTCTTGCCAGTCCTGGGGCTTGCGCTCAGGGCCTGGGCGCTGTCCCTGAGCTTCTTTTTGCTCAAGACAAGCACTCTACCACCTGAGCCATTGTGCCACTTTTTCTGTGTATGTGGTACTGAGGAGTCGAACCCAGATCTTACTTGCCTTGCATGCGTTAGGCAAGCACTCTCCCACTAAGCCCCATTCCCAGTCCTGGTCATTACTTTGAGTAGCAGAAGATGGATTTTAAAAATTGCCAAGGGGGGCTGGGAAGGTGGCTCAGTGGTAGAGCCCTTGCCTTGCATGCATGAGACCCTAGGTTCGATTCCTCAGCACCACATAAGCAAAAAGAAGAAAGCCAGAAGTGGCGCTGTGGCTCAAGTGGTAGAGTGTTAGCCTTGAGCTAAAGAGCTGAGGGACAGCATCCAGGCCCAGAGTTCAGGCCCCACGACCGGAGCAGCCCCCCCCCCAAAAAAAAATTGCCAAGGATCATAATCACCTTAGCTTTTTTTTTTTTTTTAAGGCCATAGCTCCACTTCTGACTTTTTGGAAATTCATTGGGGATAAAGAGTCTACCGGACTCTCCTGCTTGTTCTGACTTGATCTCGTCCTCCTGAGTAGCTAGGATTACAGCTGTGAACTGCTGGTGCCCAGTCCTACCAGACAGTAATTTTAAATCACTGTTTGGAAAAGAAGGGCTCCCTGCCAGATGTAAGATCACTTTCCTGAAAGGGGAGAAGGATACAAAAAGGGCAAAAACTAGCCAGGGGCTGGTGGCTCACGCCTGTAATCCTAGCTACTCAGGAGGTTGAGATCTTAGGATCGCGGTTCAAAGCCAGCCCAGGCAGGAAAGTCCTTGAGACTCTTATCTCCAATTAGCCACCAGAAAACCTGTGGCTGTGGCTCAAATGGTAGAGCCCTCACCTTGAGCTGAAGAGATGAGGGACAGAGCCCAGACCCAGAGTTCAAGCCCCAAGATCGACCAAAAAAAAAAAAAAAGGCAAAAACTAAGCCAAGCATCGGTGGCTCATACCTGTAATCTTAGCTACTCAGGAGGCTGAGATCTCAGAATCTTGGTTCAAAGGCAGTCCAAGCAGGAAAATCCATGAGGCACTTATTTCCAATGAACCACTCAAAAGCCAGGAGTGGAGATGTGGCTCAAGTGGTAGAGCACTACCCTTGAGCAAAAAAATTCAGGGACAAAGCCCAGGCCCTGCTTTCAAGTCTCAGGACTGACACATATACGCACACAAAAGATGAGCCGTACACGGTGATGAAAGCCTGCAATCACAGCACTTGAGAGGCTGAGGTAGGATGACGGATTTCAAGGCTATCCTGGGCTACATCACATATCACTTCTATATCTATCTGGGGATAGATCTAGATTATACATAGGCACATGTACATGTATATATACTCATTGGCCAAGGAGAGGCCTATTGAGTTGTATTTTTAGTATGGAGACTACAATGAACCTGTTGATTTGGTGCTCAGGAAGTACTGGGACCTGAGCAGGCATCGAATTGAGCACTGATTCCTGTCCTCTGATTTATACCAGATTTGAAAAGTTGGACCAGCCAGCTTTGAGAATCAGATTCTCCCAAATGTGTGCATGTTTCTTTTAATTTGAGGCAGAACTCACTCTGGTGAGTTCCTGTGCTATTCATGCCTTCGTTCACAGGAGTGAATGGGATGTACTGAAGTTACCCCTCTCTCTACTCCTGTTGTTCAACGCTGTCTCGGGAAGTCTCCTCTACACTACACTTAGTCAACCTTCCACATTTCAGCTTTTGTCTGAGTCACACAGGTTGTCTTGAAACCTTTCTTCCTACTGCCCCAGATCAAAACTATGAAAAGAGAAGGCAACTGTCTAGTTTTGAGATCTTTTGGCTTTTCTTGTCTTCTTTTGGAAGCCCTAATATTTCTTCTCTTTTTAAAAATTGATCTATATTAATTGTACAAAGGGGTTTTAATTGTAATAGTTATATGTATATACATATATATATATATTATACTCACTCATTTAGTGTTTCTCTTGCAGCTATATTTCCTTAGTTTGAGTTGGCCTTTGTAATAGAATTGAATGGCCAGTTGGCTAAAATTTAAATCTGAGAGTTATGTTCATTAGTGAGTGATAGCTAATTAGAACTGCACTGCAGAAAAAAAAATTAGATGGCTGTCAGTGGTAGGCTGGTGATTAAAAACAGAAAAGTAGCCAAGTACCAGTGGCTCACCCCTGTAATGCTAGCTACTCCGGAGACTGAGATCTTACAATCACAGTTCAGAGCCAACCTGGGCAGGAAAATTTATGAGACTCTTATCTAATTAACCACCAAAAAAGTTAGAAGTGGAGGTGTCAATCCTGTGCTAGAACACTAGTCGTGGGCACAAAAGCTCAGAGAAAGCACCCAGGCCTTGAGTTCAAGCACCAGGACTGGCACCAAAAAGATTTTTTTTAATGTTATTCAATCATAGAATGAATGAATATTCTCTTTTTGCCAGTCCTGGGGCTTGAGTTCAGGGCTTTGGCACTGTCCCCAAGCTTCTTTGGCTCAAGGCTAGCCTTGAGCTACAGTGCCACTTCCATTTTTTTTTCTTTTTTCTGTTTATATGATACTGAGGAATCGAACCCAGGGCTTCATGCGTGCTAGGCAAGACCTCTACCATTAAGCCACATTCCCAGCCCCATGAATGAATTTTCTTAGCAATTGTTATTTGGCTATCAAATGATTCATAGAAGTATCAATAAAAGACAATACCATGAAGCCCTGGGTTTGATTCCTCAGTACCACATACACAGAAAAAGCCAGAAGTGGTTCTGTAGCTCAACTGGTAGTATGTAAACCTTGAGCAAAGAGAGGCTGAAGGACAGTGCCCAGACTCTGAGTTCAAGCCCCAGGACTGGCAAAAAAAAAAAAGAAAGAAAAGAAAAAGAGAGCAACACTGTTTTTGTTAATATGTAACTCATTTATCCTTTAGCTTCTTTTCACCCCCATCCATGGAAAGAATGTCATTTTGGATTACATTTTTTTGGATTAGGTTTTGTTATTTTGTGCTAGTAATGGGCTTGAACTCAGGGCCTCATGCTCACTCATGCTCATAGCTAGTGTTCTACAACTTGAGTCGGGCCTTTCAACTTTTGGCTGGTTAGTTAGAAATAAGAGTGACTTGGATTTGTCTGCCCCTGTTGACTTTGAACCAAGATTGTTAGCTCTCAGCCTTCTGAGTAGCTAGGATTAGAGGCGTGACCCACTGGTGCCCGGCTTATGTGGGTTTGTTCATTTGTTTTTTAGTTACTCATCATTTTCATCTAATCACCTATACACATAGGATGATATGAATTCTTCTTTTATTTTTTATAGCAAAAATGGAAGAGCTGAGTCAGGCCCTGGCCAGTAGCTTTTCTGTGTCTCAAGATCTGAACAGCACAGCGGCCCCACACCCCCGCCTGTCTCAGTACAAGTCCAAGTACAGTTCCTTGGAGCAAAGTGAGCGGCGGCGCCAGTTACTGGAACTGCAGAAATCGTAAGGGGGCTTTAACTCCTTGGCTTCTTTCTCTGGGTTGGGAACTGTAAACTTCTCAGGGGGATTGAGCTCCTTTCTATGGAATCCCCCTTTGAAGGACGCTCCCTTAAAGGTGGATCTTGCTGCCCACATGGTGGGCAGCGTGAAGGCTGCCCAAGGTAGGCCTTTATCCCCAGCACTTAGGAAAGGACCAGGAAGAAGAGAGGACTGAAGTTTGAAAGCAAAAACTCATTTGGTTAAGTTTTACTTCCTGCCCCCCCCCCCCCCAACCCACTCCTGGGGCAATAATACTGAGCTTTGCAATTTAGGAACTTGTGGAAGCCTGGCCTAGACTTCTACTCCCCCACCTTCTCTGGGTAGCTGATGTGTGGCCTTTCCAACATGGAATTCTGGTACTAGTGTGGTCTTCCCGTCTTCCTGGGGCCCAAATGTTACTAGGGAGCCCTTGGGAGTTCAAGACAAATAATTCCCAGGGAATCAGAGGAAATGTCTTCCACATTCTCTGGTCTAAATGCCAAAATGAGCAAAAGGGGAAAGAGAGCAGAATGGGAGTGTTTGAGGTTGGGCTGCTTTGGAGAGAGATCCTATTTTTTTATTCTTGGTGCACCATGGACTTTTCTTCTGGGTCATAAATTTAAGAACTGGGGATTAGAAGAAAATGAACAGTTTTGCAGTTGTCACAGAGTCTGTATTTTGTCCAGACTAGATATGTGAAACAGAAATGCTTCTCTATAGCATCTGGCTTGCTTCCAGATTACATTCTCTTGCCAGCGGTGGTGGCTTATGTCTTGTAATCCTAGCAACTCAGGAGGCTGAGATATGAGGATTGTGGCTGAAAGCCAGTGTAGGCAGGAAAGTCTGTGAGACTAACTTTGTTGTTGTTGTTGTTGTTGGTTGTGGGGCTTGAATTCTGGGTCTGGGTGCTGTCCCTGAGCTCTTTAGCTCAAAGCAAGTGCTCTACCGCTTGAGCCACAGTGCCACTTCCAGTTTTCTGGTGGTTAAATGGAGATAAGAGTCTCACAGAGTTTCCTGCATGGGCTGGCTTTGAACCTTGATCCTTAGATCTCAGCCTCCTGAGTAGCTAGGATTACAAGTGTGAGCCACCAGTGCCTGCCATCTTTTTAATATTAAAAAAAAAAATTATTTGTTTTTTTTCTGCCAGTCCTGGGGCTTGAGCTCAAGGCCTGGGCACTATTCCTGACTCTCTTTGTACTCATGGCTAGCACTCTACCACTTGAGCCACAGTGCCACTTCTGACTCTTTCTGAGTAGTTTATTGGAGATAAGAGTCTTAGAGACTTTCCTGCCCAGGCTGGCTTGGAACGGTGATCCTCAGATCTCAGCCTCCTGAGAAGCTAGGATGATAGGTGTGAACTACTGGCGCCTGGCTTATTGTCTATTTGTTTGTTATTATAAAGGTGATATATAGAGGAAATAGTATATAAGTCAGGTACTGAGTACATTTCTTTTCCTTTCTTTTTTTTTTTTTTGGTCTGTGGAGCTTGAATTCAGCACTTGGGCACTGCCCCTGGGCTCTTCTGCTTAAGGCTAGTGCTCTACTACTCTGAGCCACAGCTCTATTTCTTGTTTTCTAGTGGTTAATTGGAGGTAAAAGTCTCATGGACTTTTCTTGCCTGGACTGGCTTTGAACTGTCATCCTCAGATCTCAGCCTTTTGAGTAGCTAGGATGACAGGCGTGAGCCACCAGCGCCCGGCTCGCCTTTTTGGACATGGTCACCCCTTCTCTCGCTCTCTCTCAGTTTTTCCCTCCCATCCCCACCCACAAGCTGTGCAGTTCATTTTCAACGTACTGTACGACTCTTTACCTTTAATTAAACACCAAAAAATAAAATAAAATCTGGAAATGGAACTGTGGTTCAAGTGGTAGAGTGTTAGTCTTGAACACAAAAGCTCAGAGACAGTGCCCAGGCCCTGATTTCAAGTCCTAAGGACCAGCACAAAAAACAGAACCAAAACAAATTTTATTCCCTGACTTTTTTCTTTTCTAACTGCTATTTACTATTTTTTTTTAATTTTGTTTTGTTTTGTTTTGTCAGTTGTGGGGCCTGAACTCTGGGCCTGGGTGCTGTCCCTCAGCTATTCAGCTCAAGGCTAGTGCTCTACCACTTGAGCCACAGCACCACTTCTGGGTTTTTCTGCTTATATGGTGCTGAGGAATCGAATCCAGGGCCTCATGCATGGGAGGCAAGCATTGTACCACTGATCCACCTTCCCAGCCCTGCTATTTATTTATTTATTTATTAACTTTATAAAGAAAAGTTTATTTTGCTCATATCTGGAAGTTCTTGGGCCCACTTCTGAGGATGGCCTTCTTATTAGCAGATTCCCATGGTGGCTCTGTATCACATGATAAGAGACAGGAAGCATCTCTTCCACTTTCTCTTCCTCTTCTGTTTTTTGGGGACTGAACCCCCATGGCCTTACACATAAAGACTTCTGGCTCCAAGCTGCATCCCTAGCCTTTTTCCTCTTAACTAGCCATGGGGACTGCACCCTGACTCCCTTATCTAATGCTAAACACCCCTAATGGCCTCATCTCTAGAAACTATATTCAGATTCACTTTCTACTTTTTCTTTTGTTGTTTTTGGGGTTTGAGCTCAAGGCCTCATGCTTGCTTGGCAGGCACTCTACTGCTGAACCACATTTTACCTCACAATAGAGATTAAATTTCAACACTACTGAAGGACACCTGCAAACCATAGTAAGTACCTATGGTATGGCAGGCACTGTGCAGCTACTCATGAACCGGTCACTACCCTCATGGAGATCACAGACTAGTTAGGAAAATGTCCATCAAACAAGTGGCTGGGTGATGAGAACCGTGGAAGAAAGCCTGTGGTGAGGTGAATACAGCCTTGTTTGGAGGTTCAGAGGGTCTGGATATAAAGTAAGTATTCTTGTTTTTTTTGTTTTTTTGGGTCTGGTCATGGGGCCTGAACTCTGGGCCTGGGCGCTGTCCCTCAGCTCTTCAGCTCAAGGCTAGCGCTCTCCCACTTGAGCCACAGCGCCACTTCCGGCTTTTTTCTTTTTGCTTATGTGGTGCTGAGGAATCGAACCCAGGGCCTCAGGCATGCAAGGCATGCGCTCTACCACTGAGCCACCTTCCCAGCCCCTAAAGTAAGTATTCTTAAGGGAGTTAGCTGTGTGGGGTGGGGAGAATGGTCAGGGAAGAGTTCCATGTTCATGGAGATGAAAGCAGTCAGCTACAACTGGAACTTAAAGGTCAATAATGACCCAGAGGAGCTAGGCACTCCTGCAGTCCTGGCACTGGAGAGTTTGAGAGAGGAAGACTGTGAGTTGGAGACCATCCTATGCTACATATGAAGACCTTGTCTCAACAAACACAACCATAAACACATTCAATTAGAGAGATTTTGTTGTTAAAGTCCCAGATTATGCAGGGTGACTGTATTTCATAATTCTTTTTCTTTTTCTTTTTTTTTTGATTGTGATTAAGTGATTACATAATTTCCGGAATTTCACAGTATTGTGGAATAGTGATGCTCATTTAAAGTCACAAGTTCATTCTAACTTTCCTGGAGCAAATTGTCTATCACAGTCTGTAACATATAACGGTGTTCACATGTTATACACCATACATGCAATCAGCAGCATGGGGATATTTAGTAGTGGTTCGACCAGATGAGTGGGAGTTCTTTGTTTTTTAAGTCCTGTTAGTTTTGTCATATCACCTAACATTTTGGATTTAGCATCCACTTATCAGGGAGACCATGTACTGTTTGTCTCTTCGCTCTTGGCTTACCTCGCTCAACATGATTTCTTCTAGCTCCATCCATTTCCCTGCAAATGCCATTATTTTGTCATTTCTAATAGCTGCATAATATTCCATTGTGTATAGATACCACGATTTTTGGATCCATTCATCTGTGGTGGGGCATCTGGGTTGTTTCCATATCCTAGCTATTGTGATCAGTGCTCCTGCTATTATTTTATAATGGGTAATAATACACCAATGAGGTTCAAAGTATACAGAAGAGTATCTGGTGAAGAATATTCCTCCATAATCTTAGTCATCTAGTCATCCAGTTCCTCTCTTAATGGGAAGTAAGAGTCTCAGGGACTTTCCTGGTTGGGCCAGCTTTGAACCATGATCCTCTGTGTAGCTAGGATGACAGGCCTGAGTCATTGGTGCCTGGCTCCATCATTTCTAATTTCTACCAAAAAAACCCAAGTCCTGCCCAAATTTGTAGCCTTTGAAATAAATGAAACCCATCACATTCTGAGATATCCATGTATAAAACATAAAGACCCTGTGCTCATGTCTTTTGTTTCCTCCAGCAAGCGGCTGGATTATGTGAACCATGCCCGGAGACTGGCTGAAGATGACTGGACCGGGGTGGAGAGCGAGGAAGAGGAGGAGAGGAAGGGTGATGAGGAAATGGACATCGACACTGGCAAGAAGTTACCAAAACGCTATGCCAATCAAGTAAGTGGTACAGAGCTGACTCAGCGCTGGACTGACTGAAATCCTTGATCAAGCGTGTGGATAGTAGGTTAACAGCCATGAGCCCTCAGTAGCCAGCCGCTGCCAGCCATAAGCAGAAAGCCCTCAAGCTATTGATCTTCTAACAGACTCTTTATATATTTCTTGCCAGTCCTGGGGCTTGAATTCAGGGCCTGTGCGCTGTCCCTGAGCCTCTTTGGGCTCAAGGCTAGCACTGGAGTCACAGCGCCACTTCTTGCCTTTTCTGATTAGTTTATTAGAGATAAGAGTCTCACAGACTTTGCTTACCAGACTAATCTCAAACTTTGGTCCTCAGATCTCAGCTTCCTGAGTAGGATGACAGTAGTGAGACACCTGTGTCCAGCCCTAGCCTGTTGCTGGCTTTTGGTTTTCGTTTTTTATTATTATTAATTTATCTACTTTTCTTTTTTTTTTTTCTTTTTTTCTTTTTGCCAGTCCTGAGGCTTGAACTCAGGGCCTGGGCTCTGTCCATGAGCTTCTTTTGCTCAAGGCTAGCACTCTACCATTTGAGCCACAGCTCTACTTCCAGCTTTTTCTGTTTATGAGGTGCCAAGGAATGGAACCCTGGGCGTCATGCATGCTAGGGCAAGCACTCTACCACTAAGCCACATTCCCAGCCCTGGTTTTTATTTACTTACTATTTTTTTGTGGGTTGTAGGACTTGAACTCTGGGCCTGGGTGCTGTCCCTCAGTTCTTCAAGCTCAACTCTAGTGCTCTACCACTTGATCCACAGTACCACTTCCCGTTTTCCAGTGGTTTATTGGAGATAAGTCTTTGGACTTTCCTGCCTGGGCTGGCTTTAAACCGTGATCCTCAGATCTTAGCCTCCTGAGCAGCTAGGATGACTGGTGTGAGCTCTGCCCTCACCTGTAACACATTTGCATTTTGTATGTAGGATGGGACCGCTTTGTTCTTGTAACATTTGTGCAGCACACTCCTGTAACCTTTAACGCCATGTTTTTGTTTCCAGCTGATGCTCTCGGAGTGGCTAATTGATGTCCCTTCAGATCTGGGGCAGGAATGGATTGTGGTCGTGTGCCCCGTGGGGAAAAGAGCCCTTATTGTGGCCTCCAGGGTGAGTAGCCACTTCTACCCCTCATGCCTGGAGGCCTGATCTGAGGCCAGGGGTTTTCTCTGTTCTTCATTCTCTTGGGGTACAGCAGCCTTGCCTGGAGTGGGCCCCGCAGTCCTTTCCTGCAGTGAGGATCTGCTGTCTACCATCTTTGGGCCAGTGATTACACTAAAGAAAGACTGGGCAAGAGGCAAGGAGATCAGTGGACACCTGACAAGAATGGTAGTTTTCTCTCCCCAGGGCTCCACCAGTGCCTACACCAAGAGCGGCTACTGTGTCAACAGGTTTTCTTCCCTTCTGCCAGGAGGCAATAGGCGGAACTCAACAACAGCAAAAGGTACATTAAGACGCCTCACCTAAGAATCTGTGGGGTGCAGATTGGCTATGACCTCTTGATGTTGTTTCCTCAGCTTCCTCAGTGCCTGGATTACAGGTGTGCACTACCATACCCAGCTATTTACTGAGTTGTTTTTTTTTTTTTGGTCAGTCGTGGGGCTTGAACTCTGGGCATTGTCCCTCAGCTCTTCAGCTCAAGGCTAGCACTCTACCACTTGAGCCACAGCGCCACTTCCAGTTTTCTGGTGGTTTATTGGAGATAAGAGTCTCAGGGACTTTCCTGCCTGAGCTGGCTTTAAACTGCAATCCTCAGATCTCAGCCTCCTGAGTAGCTAGGATTACAGGCATGAGCTACTGGTACCCAGCTTTACTGAGTTTCATAATCAGTATAAGACAGTGTCTGTTGCTTCAGTTTTTTTTTGTTGTTGTTGTTTTTGTTTGGTCTTTTATTGGCACTGTGGTTTGAACCTCCAGCCTCCCATTTGATTAAGCAGATGCTCACCCACCTGAGCTACATTGAGGTTTTCTGTTTTCTTGTGCTGGTCCTGGGGCTTGAACTCAGGTCCTGGGCACTGTCCCTAAACTTTTTTTTTTTTTTTGTCGGTTGTGGGGCTTGAACTCTGGGCCTGGGCGCTGTCTCTCAGCTCTTCAGCTCAAGGCTAGCGCTCTACCACTTGAGCTACAGCGCCACTTCCGGTTTTCTGGTGGTTTTATTGGAGATAGGAGTCTCACAGTCTTTCCTGCCCGGGCTGGCTTTGAACCACGATCCTCAGATCTCAGCCTCCTGAGTAGCTAGGATTACAGGCATGAGCCACCAGCACCCGGCTTGTCCCTAAACTTTTATGCTCAAGGCTAGTACTCTACCTCTTTGACCACGCTGCCATTTCTGGCTTTTTTTTTTCCCCCTGGTTGTGGGGCTTTAACTCAGGGCCTGGGTGCTCTTTTGCTCAAAGCTAGTGCTCTACAGCTTAAAGCCACAGCTCCTCTGGCTTTTTTGATATTTAATTGAAGATAAAGTGTCACAGACTTTCCTGCCCAGGCTGGCTTTTAGCCACAATCCTCAGATCTCAGCCTCCCAAGTGTCCAGTATTACAAGTGTGAGCCACTAGTGCCCTGCTTTTTGGTTATTTTTTGAGATAGGGTCTCACTATGTAGTGTATGTACACTATCCTGGAACTTTCTGTCTGCGTGCTGAGATTATGGGTGTGTGTCACCATGCTTTTTAGTCTTTTTTTTTTTTGCCGGTCGTGGGGCCTGAACTTGGGGCCTGGGCTCTGTCCCTCAGCTCTTCAGCTCAAGGTTAGCTCTCTACCACTTGAGCCACAGCGCCACTTCCGGCTTTTTCTGCTTATGTGGTGCTGAGGAATCGAACCCAGGTCTTCATGCATGCAAGGCAAGCACTCTACCACTAAGCCACATTCCCAGCCCTACCCTGATTTTTTTTTTTTTTTTGGTTGTTTTTTTTTGTCATTCGTGGGGCTTGAACTCTGGGCTTGGACGCTGTCTCTGGGCTCTTCAACTCAAGGTGAGTGCTCTCCCACTTGAGCCACAGCGCCACTTCAGTTTTCTAGTGGTTTCTTGGAGATAAGAGTCTCACTGACTTTTCTGCCCATTCTGGCTTGGAACCATGATCCTCAGATCTCAGCCTCCTGAGTACCTAGGATTATAGGCAAGAGCCACTGGTGCCTGGCTCTACCCTGTTCTTTTAACTATGTTTATGTTGTATTCTTCCTGTAAAGCATTTCCTGCTGTTCCTGTTTCCTCTTTCTGGAACTCCTGTGTCATAGTGTGTACTGTATAATTTCATTGCTTGCTCTGTGGTCATCTTCTCTCCACTTCTTAAAAGGCAGAGACAACTTCTATCCCTTTCCTCACACACAGTGTCTTTCATAAGAACTTGTAGGGTAATTGTAAGCTGGGTGTGGTAGCATGCACCTATAGTCCAGCCAGAAGGGAGGCATTGAGTCAGGAAGATCACTTGACCTCGAGTCTTTTTTTTTTTCGGGTCCGGTCGTGGGGCCTGAACTCTGGACCTGGGCGCTGTCCCTCAGCTCTTCAGCTCAAGGCTAGCCCTCTACCACTTGAGCCACAGCGCCACTTCCAGCTTTTTTCTTTTTGCTTATGTGGTGCTGAGGAATCGAACCCAGGGCCTCAGGCATGCAAGGCAAGCGCTCTACCACTGAGCCACCTTCCCAGCCCTTGACCTCGAGTTTAAGGCCAGCCTTGGCTACATAGCAAGACACTTTTTCTAAATTAAAAAAAAAAAAAGGCCGTGCTGGTGGCTCATGCCTGTAATCCTAGCTACACAGGAGGCTGAGATCTGAGGATCACAGTTCAAAGCCAGCTCGGGCAGGAAAGACCATGAGGCTCCTATCTCTAATAAACCACCAGAAAACCGGAAGTGGCGCTGTAGCTCAAGTGGTAGAGCGCTCGCCTTGAGCTGAAAAGCTGAGGGACAGCGCCCAGGCCCAGAGTTCAAGCCCCATGACCACCACCAACAACAACAAAAAAGCTGGGCGCTGGGGGCTTATACCTGTCATCCTAGCTATTCAGGAGCCTGAGATCTGAGAATTGCAGTTCAAAGCCGGCCCGGGGTACAAAGTTGGTGAGACTTTTTTTGGGGTCGGTTGTGGGGCTTGAACTCTGGGTCTGAGCCCTGTCCTTGAGCTCTACCCCTTGAGCCACAGCACCACTTCTGGTGGTTCATTGGAGATAAGAGTTTTTACAGACTTCCTGCCCAGGCTGTCTTTGAGCCACAATCCTCAGATCTCAGACTCCTGAATAGCTAGGATTATAGGTGTGAGCCATCGGCACCCGGCTTGTGCATGAGACTCTTTATTGCCGATTTACCAGCAAAAAAAGCTAAAAGTGGAGCTGTGGATCTAGTAGTAAACTAAACTCAGGCACAGTGCCCAGGCTGAGTTCATGCCCCCTGTATTGGCACCAAAACAAAAATGAAAAAAAAAAAAGGAAAGTTATCAATTAAAATAGGATCTTAAATATTAAACTTCAGGTTCTCTAAGATGAGCAAATGTCCAAACTGGTGTTGAAATTCCAAGTTCCCACTTGGCTGAAGAGTTGTATCAATCCTCACCTAGTGTCACCCTTAAGCCATGCAGAACTCTGTCCCCGGTGAACCCGTAGTCCCTACTGCAGGACCTAAAGGTTGTTTGGTTTGAGCCTCTAAGATGAGGCCTCCTAGATTGGAAGAGAGCTGCTTGTTGACTCTCTGCCTCTGTCTGCAGACTACACCATTCTAGATTGCATCTACAGTGAGGTGAAGCAGACCTACTATGTGCTGGATGTGATGTGTTGGCGGGGGCACCCGTTTTATGACTGTCAGGTAAGGGCTGCTGCCTCCCCCCGGCCCTCCCCCCGGCCCTCCCCCGGCCCCCCCCCGCCCCCCCCCCCCCCCCCCCCCCCGTCTTTTCCTCTCTTCCCTCTCTCTGGAACTTGGCCCCTGCCTGTGGGTTTGGTTCATGACCAGCCTGTTAGGGTGTCCCGGATGTGGTATATCATGAACATTATCTAATGCTCCCTGCATCTTTGAGAGTGTTTTAAATTTGCTTAGTTTGAAAAACACAATAAGTGGAACTGAGGAAAGTGTAGCAGCTTTTCTGTTATTTTTGTTTGTTTGTTTTTTAAAATTTTGCTGGTGCTAGGGCTTGAACTCAGGGCCTGGGTGCTGCCCCTGAATTTTCTTGCTCAAGGCTAGCACTCTACTACTGGAACCACAGCTCCACTTCTGGTTTTTTGGATGCTTAATTCGAGTTAAGAGGCTCACAGACTTTCTTGGGTGGGCTGGCCTTGAACCATGATCCTTCAATCTCAGTTTCCTGAGTAGCTGGGATTACAGGCTTGAGCCTCAGTGCCTGGCTGGAGTATAACCAGTCCTTGAGAGTGGAAGGGGAGAAACAAGAGGTGTAGGCTGGGCTTTGTCACAGCTGTATTTTCCCCTTGCTGCTCTCCAGCTGGAGGATTGCTGGCAGAGCAGATTGTGGGGTGAAGAGATGCTGTGGTGGGCAGCAGGAAACGAAGGTAGAACGTGAGATACCATCAAATGACTCCTTCACCCACCATATCCTGACCCTGCCGGTGCCTGGGTGGCCTGGGTAGTTCCAGGTCTCCAAGACTTGCTCTAGGAAGTGACTTTCAGAATGAGAAGAAATCCTTTCCCCTCCCACTTTGTTATGCCTTCCTCTACACTGTTCTCCCATCACTGAGCAACCACTAATAGGAGCAGTTAGCAGACCCCCCCCCCCCCATTATCTATGGCTCAGCTAGTTTCCCATCATGCTGTGCGAGTACTCTCTAGATCAGGCACCTCGGGAAGGGTTAAAGAAGCAGCTCCCACACCTGCTGAACAGGAGCCGGGGAGTGCTTTAACAAGCTTCTAGATATTCTTCATGAAGGGGAGAGGGAAGGGGAGGGGCAAGTGGAAGAGGGAGAGGGGGAGGGAGAAGAGAAGAAGGAGGAGAGAAAAGAGGAAGAGAAAAAGGAGGAAGAAGACAAGAAAGAAAGTACAGGAGAAGGGAGAAGAGAAGAGTAGGAAGAAGAGGGGAGGGAAGAAAGAAAAAAGGGAAGAAGAAGTTGAAGAGAAGAAAGAAACAGATTTGGTTTCTGGTACCGCACACCTGTAATCATAGCTACTCAGGAGGCTGAGGTCTGAGGATCATGCTTTGAGGCCAGCCCAGGCAGGAAAGTATGTAAGACTCTTTTTTTTTTTTTTTTTTGCCAGACCTGGGGCTTGAACTCAGAGCCTGGGCACTGTCCCTGAGCTTCATTTGCTCAAGGATAGCAATCTACCACTTGAGCCACAGCACCACTTCTGGCTTTTTCTGTTTATGTAGTACTGAGGAATCGAATCCAGGGTTTCATGCATGCTAAGCAAGTATTCTACCACTAGGCCACATTCCCAGTCATGTGAGACTTATCATCTCCAATTAACCACCAAAAGGCCCTAAGTGGGCTCGTGGTTCAAGAGGTAGAATGCCAGACTTGAGTGAAAAAAACTCAGGGATAGCATCTGGGCCCTGAATCCAAGCCTTACGATTGGCACAAAAAACAAAACAGACAAACCAAAAACAGAATAGATGGGCACCAGTGGCTCGCACCTATAATTCTACTTACTTAGGAGGCTGAGATCTGAGTATCTCAGTTCAACACCAGCCCTGATAAGAAAGTCCCTTGGACTCTTTTTTTTTTTTTTTTTTTTTGGGGGGGGGGTCCGGTTGTAGGGCCTGAACTCTGGGCGCTATCCCTCAGCTCTTCAGCTCAAGGCTAGCGCTCTACCACTTGAGCCACAGTGCCACTTCCAGCTTTTTTCTTTTTGCTTATGTGGTGCCGAGGAATCGAACCCAGGGCCTCATGCATGCAAGGCAAACGCTCTACCACTGAGCCACCTTCCCAGCCCCATCCTTTGGACTCTTATCTTCAATTAACACCAAGGACCAGAAGTGGAACTGTGCCTCAAATGGTAGAGTACTAGCCTTGAGCAAAACAAAACTAAACTAAACACCTAATGGACAGTGCCTGAGTTCAAGCCCAGTACCAACAACAGCAAGAGAGAGAGAGAGAGAGAGAGAGAGAGAAGGAAGAAAAGATGGAGGAGGTAAGGAAGGAAGCAGAGATTGAGGATGAGATTGTCACAAGCTATCCCCGTGAGCCATCACCCCACTGAAGGTCAGGAGACACTCAGGGGATGAGATATCTTCCCCTCACTGGAGCATGCATCTTTAGCATCTGCCCCTGGAGCATTGTAAGCGTCATCTCCTCAGATCCTGAGCACCAGCGCCGTGGCCACGCTCTCCCAAGAGGTAGAAGCTGACAGCATCCCAGAGCAGAGCCAAGCCTACACCCAGAATAAAAATACAAATCCAATCCCCAGCACCTATGTTCCCTTGGGGTTTGTGTTCTGGTTTGTTTTTGTGGCCGGGTTTCACTATGTCGTCCACACGGTTATGGAACTTGCTGTGTAGCCTAGTCTGATCTCAAACTTGTGATGTTTCTCCCTTGACCTTGTGAGTGCTGGAATTACAGGCATGTGCCACCCCACTTGGCTTTGATGGATTTTAAGGGGAAGAAAAAAATCTTGAAGGACTTGATAAACATCTTCCTAGCCTATGGCTCTTAGTGAAATAGGGGTTAAACAACAGAAAGGACTCAGGTCTTTGTAAGACAGGTTCATATTCGAGTTGGAGATGGGCAGTGTTTTCTCTTTTGACTTTCTTTCTCGTGTGGCAGACTGATTTCCGATTCTACTGGATGCATTCAAAGTTACCAGAGGAAGAGGGACTTGGGGAGAAGACCAAACTCAATCCCGTAAGGCCAGCTTCTCATCCTGTAATGATTGATTTAGGTTCTCTGTCACCTAAAGATCATCCATTTAGACTAATTATCTTTTTATTTTTATGTTTTGGTGGTACTGGAGTTGGAATTCAGGTGCTGTGCTGCTTGAGCCACTGCTGTTCCACGCTGAAATGACCTTCATTGATATCATGTATTAATAGGAAGCATATGGGCCTGAACCTGCTCTGGATCTGAATTGTTTGTGGTTTTAACAATGACTAAGTTGAGAACCGAAGGCTAGGTGCCAGTGGTTCACGCCTGTAATCCCTGCCACTTGGGAGGATTAGATCTGTTCAAAGCTAGCCTGGGCAGGAAAGTCTATGTGTCTTTTATCTCCAGTGAACCACAAAACGCCAGAAGTGGAGCTGTGGCTCAAGTTGTAGAGCACTAGCCCTGAACAGAGAAGAATCTCAGGGACAGCACTCAGGCCTTGAGGTCAAGCCCCAGCACTGGCAAAAAAAAAAACCCCAAAACAACAAACAAAAACCCTCCACAAAAACCAAAAACCCTGGAGATCTGGGGTTGGAGGTATGGTAGAGTATCAGACAGTAAACAAAAGTATCAGATCAGGAGTTGGTGGGGAGCTAGGAATGTGGCTTAGTGGTAGAGTGCTTGCCTAGCATGCATGAGGTCCTGGATTCAATTCCTCAGTACCACATACATAAAATTAATTTTAAAACTGTACTGTGATTTCATATAACCAGCAACTCATCCATCTATACACCAAAAAACAAAACAAAACAAAAAACACAAGGCTGCCATGCCACGTGGCTCCTGTCCTGTCCTGCCTCCTGGCACTCTCCTCTGGTCAGTATGGCGCCCCACTTCAGCTCTCCGTTGGAGCTGCTCTGGGTGGTTGGTGTTGTTTTTCTGCTCTTTCTTTCCTCTCATGGCTCAGTTTTCTGACAGTGTCAACTGTATTCGTGGGGCTGCAGGTCTTTGTGACAGGAGTCTGCTTATGGTTACTGGCTTTCTAATAAAGACTCCTGATTGAACCTCTCAAATCAAAAAATTGTTGGAGGGCTGGGAATGTGGCTTAGTGGTACAGTGCTTGCCTAGCATAAACATAAACAGAAAAAGCCGGAAGTGGTGCTATGGCTGAAGTGTAGAGTGCTAGCCTTAAGCAAAAGAAGCTCAGGGTGGGGCTGGGAAGGTGGCTCAGTGGTAGAGCGCTTGCCTTGCATGCATGAGGCCCTGGGTTCCATTCCTCAGCACCACATAAACAAAAAGAAAAAAAGCTGGAAGTGGCGCCGTGGCTCAAATGGTAGAGTGCTAGCCTTGAGCTAAAGAGTTGAGGGACAGTGCCCAGGCCCCACGACTGGACCAAAAAAAAAAAAAAAAGCTCAGGGAAAGTGCCTAGGCCCTGAATTCAAGCCCCAGGGGCTTGAATTTATTTGGTGCTGAAACTGACACTTGAACACAGCTGTTTTTACTCTAGCGTTACCACTAGATCCACAGTTCTATTTCCAGCGTTTGGTAGTTAACTGGAGATAAGAGTCTTAAAGACTTTCTTGCTCAGGCTTTAAACTGAGATTCTCAGATCTCAGCCTTCTAAGTGGCTGCATTATAGGCATGAGCCCTGGCTTTTAATTTCTTTTTTATTTTTTGCCTGTTGTGGGGCTTGAACTCTGGGCCTGGGCACTGTCCCTCAGCTCTTCACCTCAAAGCTAGCGCTCTACCACTTGAGGCACAACACCACTTCCAGCTTTTTCTGTTTATGTGGTGCTGAGGAGGAATCAAACCCAGGGCCTCATGCATGGGAGGCAAGCACTCTACCACTGAGCTACCTTCCCAGCCCATCCTGTGCTTTTTTGATGCTTAATTGGAGATGAATCTCACAGACTTTCTTGCAAGGGATAACTTAGAGCCACAATTCCAGATCACAGCCTTTCTGAGTAGCTAGGGTTACAGTAAAGAGCCACCAGTGCCCAGCTTATACTAACTCTTTTTACGTTCTCATTTCTATTCCAGTTTAAATTTGTGGGACTGAAGAATTTCCCTTGTACCCCTGAGAGCCTGTGCAAAGTGCTGTCTATGGATTTCCCATTCGAGGTAATAAAACTACTGTCTTCACCATTTTCCTATGATTGTAGATTACAGAGTAGAGACTTAGGTATACATACATATACTCTCTCTCTCTCTTCTTTTTGTCTCTTTATGCAGGTCTTGGGCTTGAACTTAGGGCCTAAGCACTGTCCCTGAGCTTCTTTTGCTCAAGGCTAGTGCTCTACCACTTGAGCCATAGCGTCACTTCCAGCTTTTGTCTGAGCAGTTTATTGGAGATAAGAGTCTCACAGCTGGGTGCTGGTGGCTCACTGCCTGTAATCCTAGCTACATGGGAAGCTGAGATCTGGGGATCATGGTTCAAAGCCAGCCTGGGCAGGAAAGAGTCTGTGAGACTCTTTATCTACAATCAACTACCAGAAAGCTGGAAGTGGTGCTGTGGCTGAAGTGATAGAGTGCTAGCCTTGAGCTGAAGAGCTGAGGTACAGTGCCAAGGCCCAGAGTTCAAGCCCCATGACCAAACAAAACAACAAAAAAAGAGTCTCACAGACTTCCCTGCCCAGGCTGGCTTCAAACTACAATCCTCAGATCTCAGCCTCCTGGGTAGCTAGGATTACAGGCAGGAACCACTGGCTTCTTACAAGAATTTTCATTCTTAGTCCAGCCTTCTTGTGTGCCTCTTCCTGCTTCAAGCAGAAGAACTGGCTCCAGTTTGTCTGCGGAGCAAAATGCTACCAGTGAATGACGGGTCCCTGACAATCCATGAACCTCTGTTCCTCTGCTTGGCCTAGACCACAGTAGTCCCAGGGATGGCAATGCCTGATATCCAGTGGCATAGGAGAAGGTGACCAGCTCCCCTCACTCTGCCAAGACCTTGCCCTGTTATAGCTCTAGAAGTTTCCTGTTTCCAGAAGCACTCACTGCAAGCTGCTTGTCTTTGTTGTTTTTTTTTTCTTTCTTTCTTTTGTGTGAGTCCTGGGGCTTGAACTCAGGGCCTGGGCACTGTCCCTGAGCTTTTGGGCTCAAGTGTAGCCCTCTACCACTTGAACCACAGCTCCACTTCCGGATTTTCTGGTGGTTCATTGTTGCTAAGAGTCTCACAGGTTTTCCTGCTGGGGCTGGCTTCAAACCATGATCTTCAGATGGCAGCCTCCTAAGTAGCTAGTTTGATAGTCAGCAGCACCCTGCTTCGTTTGTTTTTGTGGTGCTGGGGATTGAACATATGGACTTGCACATGCTAGGCAAATGCTCCTCCAGTGAGTTCCACTCCACCTCCCAGCCCCCAGGCAGTGTTTTGTCATCCTTAGAACCTGCAGTCTCCTCTCCTCATTTACCAACCTCCCATCATCGCCCACCACACTTTAAAGTTCTGCCTTGTCACCAGCCAGTGTTTTCTTGAAACTGGATATAATTTTGTAAGCGATCACAGTTTCCCGCATGAGGAAATGGCAAAGGCAAATTTGCTTCATTTCTGAGAGTCAATTAAGAAGGTGGTAAGAACCCTATCTTTATTTATAACCCTTATACCCCAGTGGCAATAAATGCTCTTTAGAGATGAGTCACTGAATCATGGAAAAGAAAATGTGGGCCTGGAGGCGTGCTTCCCGTTGAGAAATGCGTTTCCCAGAACATGGCTCGCAGACAATGTCGGGGGCTGTTTGGGCAGCCAGCCATGGCTGAGAAGCCTGTGTCCTGCGCACCGTAGTCAGGTGCCCCGGCAGGCTCTGTCCAGTGTCCTGCCTTTGCTTCCATTTGGGGAACTCAGCCACCGCTGCTGGTAATGGAAAGAGCTTGGAATGTGCAGGCAGAAGACCTCAGGTTGAGTTTCTGCTTGATTCTCACTGTGTGTGTTTAGGAAGCTCCTCAGAACCGCCCAAGCCCAAGCAGCCCCCTCTCTCAAACCCAGCTTGGTGGGTAGGAGTGTTAAATAAGAAGGAGGGGATGGCTGGGCATAATGGCTCACGGCTGTAATCTCAGGAGGCTGAGATCTGAGGATAACAGTTCAAAGCCACATTGGACAGGAAAGTTTATAATCCTCTTGTTCATACCCCAGTAGTGGCAAAAAAAAAAAGTATTGAGGGATTGGAGGCATGACTCAGGTGGTAGAATACTAGCCAATGAGAGAAAACATCCGATACTGAGTTTGAGTCTCAGTTTCAGACCTAAAGAAAGAATTGAGGGATGTAATTCAGTGGTGGAATGCTCACGTAGCATTCGTGTTTGACCCGAAACATCTCAAAACTGGGAGAAAAACAAAACATATATGTATATATAAGTTTATGTATATGTATATACATACATGGACACTATGCATATAGATATTCTCTGTAAATCTCCACATACCTATGAGTGTGGATTTTGTGGGTGTACCAGTCCCAGGGCTTGAACTCAGGGCCTGGGCACCGTCCCTGAGCTTCTTTTGCTCAAGGCTAGCACTCTACCACTTGAGCCACAGTACCACTTGCGTTTTTTTCTGTTTATGTGGTGCTGAGGAATCGAACCCAGGACTTCATGCATGCTAGGCAATCACTCTACCACTAAGCCACATTCCCAGCCCTCATGTGTGTATTTTTAGTGTTATGTATAGTTGGAACCAGACATGGTGGCTCATACCTATAATCTGAGCTATTTTGAGTACTAAGATTGGGAGGATTCAGTTTCAGATAAACTCAGACTTAACAATTAAACTAAAAAGAAAGAAAAGCTGAACAAAGTGGGATATACTTTCAGCCCAGCCCTGTGGGAAGTATAAGTAGGACCCTCTAGCATAGTGAGACCCTAACATAGAACTAAAACAAAATGGGTTGAAGGTGCAGCAAAAGTGATAGAGCACCGGCCTGGCAAGTAATGGGTCCTGAGTTCAAACACCCCAGTATTGCTTTAAAAAAAAAAAAAAGTGTTGAAATTGGGCTAGGAATGTGGCTTAGTGGTAGAGTGCTTGCCTAGCATGCAGGAAGCCCTGGGTTCAATTCCTCATACACAGAAAAAGTCAGAAGTGTTGCTGTGGCTCAAGTGGTAGAGTGCTAGCCTTGAGCAAAAAAAAGCTCAGGGACAGTGCCCAAGCCTTGAGTTCAAGCCCAGGGACTGGCCAAAAAAATAAAAAGTGTTAAAAATTGTTTTAAAAAGAGGGCTGGGAAGGTGGCTCAGTGGTAGAATGCCTGCCTTGCATGCATGAGGCCGTGCGTTCGATTCCTCAGCACCACATAAGCAGAAAAAGCCGGAAGTGGTGCTGTGGCTCGAGTGGTAGAGCGCTAGCTTTGAGCTGAAGAGCTGAGGGACAGCGCCCAGGCCCAGAGTTCAGGCCCCACAACTGACAAAAAAAACAACCACCAGGCACTGGTCGCTCACGCCTGTAATCCTAACTACTCAGGAGACTGAGATCTGAGGATTGCAGTTCAAAGCCAGTTTGGACAGGGAAGTCCATGAGACTCTTATCTCCAATAAACCACTAGAAAACCCGAAGTAGCGCTATGGCTCAAGCAGTAGAGGGCTCACCTTGTGCTGAAGAGTGCAGGGACAACGCCCAAGCCCAGAGTTCAAGCCCACAACTGACCAAAAAAAAAGAAAAAGTGGAGAAGAGATGAGGGAGAGAGATGGGGTGAATAGATGGGTCAGAGGTAGCCTGCACTACTGGTAATACACATTGTCTCAAAAAAAGGTGTTAAAATAGTGGGCAGGATGTTACTATGTAAACAGGAAAGGACCATTTTGCTTTTATTTTGTAAAATTTAGTTTTCTAGGCCATTGCTTTTATTCATTCATTTCTTTGCGATACTGGGGGATTACTGCTTGCTAGGCCAGCATTCTATCACTTGATGTTTTTGTTGTTGTTACTGTTGTTTAACATGCTGGTATTGGGTATTGAACCTCAGGGTGGTTAACTGGAGATGAAGAATCTCATGGACTTCCCTTTCCTGGTTGTCTTCACTGTTCTCAGCCTCTGGAGTAGTGAGGATTACAGGCGTGAGTCACTGGTACCTAGCTTGAACCATATCCCAGGACAACATGTATTTAGTGTTTGAGTCCCACCAGTAAACAAGGCTGGCTTGTAGCCTACAGTGCACTTTCCTTAGCCCCGAGTGCTTAATGCTAGGTTTGCAGGCATGTGTCACTAGGCCATTTATTTAGAAATTAAACATGTGAGGAGCCACATTTTTTTGTTTTTTTTGGTCGGTTGTGGTGGTTGAACTCTGGGCCTAGACACTGTCCCTGAGCTCTTCAGCTCAAGACAAGCTCTCTACCACTTGAGCCACAGCACCACTTCCGGTTTTCTGGTGGTTAATTGGAGTCTCACAGGGACTCTCCTGTCCCAGCTGGTTTTGAACCTCGATCCTCAGACTTCTGCCTTCTGTGTAGCTAGGATTACAGGCGTGAGCCACCAGTGCCCGGCGCCACACTCTTTGTCTCTGGCAGTGGCCTAGACAAATGACTCAGACCACCTGAGCCGCCTGTGTGTGTGCAGGCTCTCTTGGCATCGTCTCCAACCGCCCCCCTCCCCCACTCTGACCCCCCCCCCCCCCCCACCAAAGTTACCCTGTGCTCCCTGATTCCCCTCCATAGGTGGATGGACTTCTCTTCTACCACAAGCAGACCCACTACAGCCCCGGAAGCACCCCGTTGGTGGGCTGGCTGCGTCCCTACATGGTATCGGATGTTCTTGGGGTGGCTGTGCCAGCTGGCCCACTGACCACCAAGCCAGAATATGCCGGCCACCAGCTCCAGCAGATAATTGAACACAAGAGGATCCAGAAAGAGGGCGCGAAGGAGCAGCTGGCACACAAGACCTCGCAGAACGGACATTATGAACTAGAACACCTGTCCACCCCCAAGCTCAACACGTCCCCCCCCGGCCCCGACCACCCGGCCAGCCTCATGGACAGTTAGAGAAGGCAGCTTCCTTTACGTGTCCCGGGAGGGAGCCTCACCCCCAGAAAGACTGGGGCCAAGGACCGTGAGATGCCAAGATGGCGACTCCGGCTGGAAACAGCCATCCGGCGTGACATGCAGGCTCCAGCAGCTGAGATAAAGGGTATCCCAGATAGAATGTAAATATATGTCATTCTTAGGAAAGAAGTTGTTTGTGATGCTTTTGGGGGGGGCGGTGTTAGTCCTGGGCCTTGAACTCGGGGCCTGAGCACTATCCCTGAGCTTTTGTGCTCAATGCTAGTGCTCTACCACATGAGCCACGGTTCTACTTGTAGCTGTTTTTGCTGGTTGTTTGGAGATGAAGAGTCTCACAGATACTCTTGTTCGGGCTGGCTTTGAACGTTGATCCTCAGATCTTATCCTTTTGAGTTGCTAGGCTTATAGGTATGAGCCACCAGCGCCTGGCCTGGCTGTTCTTTAAACTTTCTACAGTCTTGAATCTCCCCTGCTCCCTTCTCTTCCCCGCCCCCCCCCCTTCCAGGCTACTAAACCATGACTTCTCAAGTCTTGGCCCACTTCACCCCTTTTAGCACTCACGGATTCTGCTGAAGTTTCCACCAGCTGCTGTCGGTAAGCCATTTTCGCAACTGTCCTACCAGGAACTGAAGTTCTTGGTATTTGGATGTGTTCCTTCTTCTCAGAAGACAAGTGTGATATTTTTTTATTTTTTTGGTTAGACATTGCCAGAGATAAAATGCTAATGGGGTTAATTCATTTCTTCTAGAAATGCTTGAGCTACCAGCAGACAAACATTGTACTTGGTCCATAAGATGTAGAGTGGATTGTAGAGGAAGACATAGACCTCTGACCCTGAGGAACACACATCCAGTAAGAAAACAAGCCCACTAACCCCTAGTAGATAGAGTACATCAAGATGGTGAAGTGGTTCAGTGGCTCATGCCTATAATCCCAGCTACTCAGGAGGCTGAAATCTGAGGATCAAGGTTTCCATCCAGCTCAGCAAAGTCCATCAGACTCTTTTCTCCAATAATCACCAGAAGTACCTGAAATAGAGTTGTGATTCAAGTGATAGAGCACTAGCCTTGAACACAAAAGCTCAGGGACCGTGCCCAGGCCCTGAGTTCCAGCCCCAAGATCAATACAAAAACAAAACAAACCTAAACAAGTAGGGTCAGGACAGCACAGCGTAAGTAGGATTGGAAAGCTTTAGATGTGTTGTGGAGGAAAAGACACTAAGGAAGAGCTCAGGGTAAGACCCCTTCTGATCTGTGAACTAGAGCTTTTTGGTTGCAAACCATTCTGCAATCTCTAAGATATGACTGATCTTAGATGATGGCAGCACCAGCCTTGATTTTGTGGATTTAAATCTGAAAAGGCAAGATATGTAGTTCCTTTTGTATTCTGGTTCTCCTAAGATATTTTTCCTTTCAAAGCCAGCCAGCTGCCACACACACACACACACACACACACACACACACACACGCACGCACGCACGCACGCCGCACGCACGCAAGCACAAACACTTTATTCTCTTCAGTTCTGGAGCTTGAGCTCAGAGCCTGGGTGCTGTCCCTGAGCTTTTTTGCTCAATGCTGGTGCTCTAGCACTTGAACTACAGCTCCACTTCCAGCTTTTTTTTAGCCAATCCTGGGGCTTGAACTCAAGGCTTGACCTCTGTCTCTGAGTCTGTGCTCAAGGTTAGCACTCTACCACTTAGGCCTCAGCACCACTTCCAGCTTTTTCTGTCTATGTGGTACTGAGGAATCGAACCCAGGGCTTCATGCATACTAGGCAAGCACTCTGCTACTAAGCCACATTCCCAGCCCTAACTTTCAGGTTTTTTGCTGGTTCATTGGAGATAAGAGCCTCATGGACTTTAATATTCAAGCTAGCTTTGAACCGTGATTCTCAGATCTAGGCCTCCTGAGTAGCTAGGATGACAGATGTACTGGTGCATGGCTTGCATTTGATTTTGTTACCCGTGTCTCTACTGGTGAACTTCCAAACATTGTAATGTTAAGATGCATTCTGGGGAATGTATCCTTTGCACAGCTGCACACCCCCGCACACAGCTGTGTGTGGGAAAACACTTCCAAGTTTTCTGTTGTTAGCTCATTTAGTTAAAACTCTTCCTTAGAATCGTAGGTAGTATGCCAGGGTTCAAGTTCTAGCTCAATGCTAATTAATGAGTTACATAACTTTGGATCAATCACTGACTTCCGGTATCCTGTAGATCACTGGGCAAAAGCATTATGAAAGTATAAATGGTGGTTTGAAATCCTGTTAGCACTCATCTCCAATCAATGGTTTGTTCTACTTCCATTTCCTACTTCAGCTTAGGGAGAAGTGTGTTTTGTTCATATTATTATTTAAACATTAAAAAAAAAAAGTTTTAGCAAGGTGCTTGTAGGGTCTCCAAACTCAGGAGGCTGAGATCCAGAGGATCACAATTCAAGGCCAGCTGGGAGAAAAATTCGATAGCAAGTAGCTGTAACAGGACTGGAGGTGTGATTTAAGTAGTAGAGTGCCAGCCAAGTGAGCTGAGCAAACGCAAGGTCTCAACTTCAAACCTCAGTACTTCCAAAAACAAAATTCAAGCACACTCATGTAAAACTGTGATAATAGAGCAAAGCAAATGGTTATGTTTCAGGGGAGTAGGAACTGGGCTGGAGGTATGATGGGACTCTGGCAAATTGGGAATAATGGATTGTTCCTCCATCCCTCACGGCTGGTGCTTTACCACTTGAGCCATAGCTTTACTTCCAGCTTTTTGCTGGTTCATTGAAGTCTCATGGACTTTTCTGTCTGAGCTGGTTCTGAATCTCAAACCTCAGATTACCAGCCTCCTGAACCATCAGTGAAATTTCCTCCTCCATTTTTTTTTGGTCAGCTGTGGGGCTTGCACTCTGGGCCTGGGCGCTGTCCTTCAGCTCTTCAGCTCAAAGCTAGTGCTCTACCACTTGATCTACAGTGCCACTTCTGGCTTTTCCTACTTCTATGGTGCTGAGGAACCCAACCCAGGGCCCTCATGAATGCAAGGCAAGCACTCTTACCACTAAGCCACCTTCCCAGCACCCTCTTCTTTTTTTTTTTTTGAGTGTGTGATATTAAGGTTTGATCTCAGGGCCTTGTGTACCAGGCAGACAATCATTTGAATTACATCCTAGCCCTAGAATGCTGTGTTTCTTGATTTGTACATTGGTACACACCTATGTTATGAAACTTCACCAGGCTGTGCACATGTAACATTTAAAAACAAAGTACATAAAATGTCATCTAGAGAAAAATTCTTTCACTTCACTTCTCAGACTCAGATTTTTTTTTCTTTGGCCAGTCATAGGGCTTGAACTCAGGGCCTGGGCACTGTCCCTAAGCTCTTTTACTCAAGGCTAGTGTCTTAACACTTTGAGCCACAGCGCGCTGCTTCGGGTTTTTGAGTGGTTAATTGGAAATAAGAGTCTCAGGACCCAGGCACCTGTGGCTCAAGCCTGTAATCCTAGCTACTCCGGAGGCTGAGATTAGAGGATTTCAGTTTGATGCCAGCCAGGGTTAGAGACTCATCTCTAATAATCAAAAAAGCTGGAAGTGGAACTGTGGTTCAAGTGGCAGAGCACTAGCCTTGAACAACAACGAAAAAAGCTCAAGGACAGCTACCTAGGCCCTGAGTTCCAACCCCACGACTGGCACCCCACGTACACACGGAATTCAGAAAAAACGTTCTTGGGTGAGCATCAAAGGGCACAGCCCTCGGCTCTCTGAAGACCCCTCCCTAATTCCCTCCCGGGCTTCTGTGCTCTCAGGGGCCGGTGTTGGAACACCTCTGTACGGGATGTTGCCAGAACTGGAGTCCCAGCGCCCCACTCCTTGCCCAGACCCACTCCCACGGGGCACTGAGTCCCGGGCCCGCGCGCAGCCCCCAGCCCTTGGCGGGGTTGACTCCCAGGTAAAGACCCCGGGTTTGCAGGAGCTGTTGGGGGTCCCGATTGCGGCTGAGGGCGCGGCCGGGCACCGCGGGCGGGGCGTCCGGGACCCCACGTCCCCTCCACCCGGCCCCAAGCGCTCGGGACCGGCAGGCGGGCGCCTCCGGGCACTGGCCCCGGGGTGAGCGCGCGCGGCCACGCGGGCGAGGAGACTCCACCCCTCCTCCCCCTCCCCCTCCCGTCACCTGCACCCCCCCCTTCTTCCCCTCCCCTCCTCCTTCCCCACGCCTCCTGTCTCCCTGTCCTCCCCTCTCCCTCCCCCCCCACCGTCACCCTCCCTCCGCGCCACCTCGGGAGGCGGCCGGCCCGCAGCCCCTCCCCGCCGCCTCCCCTCCTCCTTCCGCAGCCTCCCCCCTTCTCTTCCCCTCCCCCCGGGGTCCTCCCCCAGCCTCTCCCCTCCCTCCCGGCCCCTCCTCCTCCCGTCTTCCGGCCCGGCCTTCCCCTCCCCCGTCGCGCCCCGCCCCGCGCGCTCCCCCGCCCCCCGCCTCCCCGCCGCGTCCAGGCCCCGCCCGGCCCCGCGCGCCGCCCGTTTGTGAATGAGACCCCGGGTTTGTCAATGGAGCCGCGGGGCGCCGGGGCGGACGCGGCGCGGGCCGTGAGCCGGGAGGGGGGCGCCCGAGCCGCCGCCTGCTCCGCCGCCGCCTCGCCCTCCGCGCTGCGCGTCGGCCGCCGCGGCTGCTGAGGACGCGGGCGGGAGGCCGCGAGCCCCGGGCCCCGGACCCCGGACCAGCGCGGCCCGCCCGCGGCCCCGGCGCGCTTCCGCCCCTCGGGGCCGGCGCCTCTCCTTCCCCGTCCGCGGGGCGGCGCGGGCGAGGCCGCGGCGTCGGGCGCTTCTCCTCCGGAGCCGCCGCGGGCGCCGGCCGGGCCCCGCCATGCGCGCGCCGGCCGCGGGCTGCTGAGGTGCCGGGCGCGGACGCGGAAGCCGAGGCCGAGGCGGCGCGCGGGCCCGGGGCGGCGGGATGGAGCCGGCGGCCGCGCCCCGGCCGGACGCGGCTCTGGAGCTGACCCCCGAGGAGGAGCAGGTGAGCGGGGCGCGGGGCGTCGGTGGGTGTGTCCGCGGCCTAGGCCGGCTCGGCCGCGCGGGGTCCCGCGGCTGCGACCCCGGCCCCGGGCCTCCGCCCTTCCGCGCGCCGAGGGTAGCCGGGGCGCACCGCACTCGGGGTCCCCTGGGTGCCCGCCGCCGCCCCCCCAGCCTCTCCACGCGCCGCGTAAACACACGTCCCGCGGCTGTCCCCTGGGTGGGATTGCCGTCCTCCGGATCGCCTTGGGACTTGGGTTACCAGGGTGCCCCGGATTTCCAGATGCGCTCCGGAGTCAGACCGCGCGGCCTGGGCCAGCGCGCCCCGAGGCTCCCCCCGCCCCGACCCCCGGGCCCCCGCCTCGGCCTCGCGGACCCTGCCCAGCCCCCCGCGGCCGGGCGCACCCCTCGCCCCGCTCCCTGCCCCCCACCACCCCACCCCGGCGCACCGTCTCCATCTTCCCGGAGCTCGCGGCCGGAGCTCCATTGTCCCCGAAAGCTCATGACCTTCAGGCTCCCCGAAGGAAGCGGTTTGCGGTCTCCTTTTGGGGTTGGGGTGGGGTGGCTCGGGTAAAGGAAAAGCCCCAGGATCCTTAGAACTCTCCCCCACGCACCCCCGTATCCCAGCCACGGCGGCCTGGGACCAACTTCGGGGGGGGGCGGAGAAGAGGGGGCGAGTCAGCCACGGGCGGCCGGGGGCCCCAGTGGGTGGGGAAGGGGGGGTCGGGAGTCCTTTCCTTGGTGCTCCCCAAACCTTAGCCACCACAGCCAGCCCGGGTTCCCAGGGAGGCGCCCCATCAGGCTCAGCCCAGACGGAGGGCAGGGGTGGCTGGGCGCGGACGCCCCCCAGCCTTTGTTCCCGGGCCCACCTTGGCCTGCGCTGCGCCCCCCCCCTCCCCGGGGGGCGGCTGGGTCTGCGCGCCGGGGCCGGGCCGGGGCCCGCCGGGCCGCAGGCCGGCTGTGTGTAACGCTCGGAAATCAAGTCAGCCTGTGAGTTAGGGAAAGAGAAATGTAAGAAAAACCCGGTCTGCTGCAGCGGCGGGCGCGGGTCGGCCCCGGCGCGGCCGAGGGGGCCCCGGAGCCCAGGCCGCCAGAGCTGGGCGCGGAGGACGGGGCCGGCCGGGGCTCTTCCCCCCTCCATCCCCATTGGACTTCCAGGCTTCTGCTATCCTCGGTACGATTTCTCTTCCCCAGCATATATCCTGCTCTGGATCGACTTGAAATCTCATTTTAACCTGAAAAATATTGAATTATTATTAAGGGGTTGTCTGGAGCCTTGTACCATTCCCTAAGTCAGGTACTGAGTACATTTCTGTTTTTGACAGTGTCGCCCCCTCCTCCACTCCTCTCCCCCCTTTTCCAATCCCCCCCTTTTTTTTTGAGGTGCTGAGGACCGCTCCTGAGATGCACGTGCATGCTAAACTAATTCTCCCACCGCCGAGCCTACGCCCCAGGCTTCCAGAGTAATTTACCTGTTTGCTTTTTAACATTGTAAACTCCCCTGAAAGCAAGGATTTGGTCTTGTATCTCAATGACTCCTGTTACTGCACATAATAAGAAGGGCTAAATGTGTTGCCTGAATCTCAGAAGAAGCTGAAAATCTTAACACCAATTTTAATAAAAATCTTCCCCCCCCCCACACCTTTTTCATTTTTTTTTCTTTCCTGGGATTTGAACTTTGGACCTGGGTGCTGTGTCTGAGCTCCTTTTTTGCTTGAGACTAGTTCTGTACCACTTGAGCTGTTGCATCACTTCCAGCTCTTTCTGTGATTAATTGGAGATGGAAGTCTCAGGGACTTTTCTGTCCAGCTGGCTTTGAACTGTGATCCTCAGATCTCAGCCTCCTGAGTAGTTAGGATGACAGGTGAGGGCCATTGGCACCCGGCTCTTTTTCTCTTACTTGCAACTCCTCCCTTTCCCCCAGTAAAATTCTGTATTTTCTACAGGCATTTCAAAAACACTGAGACACACATATAAAAGCAGCATAGTTTGAATTATGGCAGTAATTAGATATTCTCATTTTAGTTTCATATCACTTGAGTATCCTTGACTTAAAATTTCTGTAAAAGACTTAGCAAATGGGTGTCAATCTTATCAAAGACGTTGTCATGAGAAATGACACATTCATCCCATAATGCTGGCTCATTGCTGAAACCAATTTTAGAACTCACTTGAAGTTGATTTCTAAGTTGGTGGCAGAATTTTTGAAATATCTCAGCTGGAAATTTTCTGTACTTTTGTGAATCCATTTGGAAGTAGAAAAAAACCCCAACAACTTTAGGAATCTATTTCATAAGCAAATAGGGGATTGCCAGAAATTCAGGCAAAAGAAAAAAACGCATTTAGTCTGTTTTGTGTGAACTGCCTTACTGATCTGATGTCTGCAGCAGGTTTCCTCTACCCTTTTACTGGGATTTGAACTCAGCATCCCAGCCTTACTTTTTGTTTTTTGGTCAGTTGTAGGGCTTGAACTCAGGGCATGGGTGTTGTCCCACAGCTGTTTTGCTCAACGCTAGTGCTCTATCACTTTGAACCACATTGCCACTTCTGGTGTTCTGGTGATTCTTTGGGAGATAAAGAGTCTCATGGACTTTCCTGACAGGGCTGGCTTTGAACCTCAATCCTCAGAGCTCAGCCTCCTGAGTAGCTAGGATTACAGGTGTGGCCCTGCTGCAGCCTTACTTTTTTTTATGATTTTTTTTATTGTGAAAATACTGTACAGAGGAGTTACAATTACATGGGCAAGATAATGAGTACGTTTCTTATCAAGCATTGTAGCCTCCTCCTTTGTTTCCCCTTCCCATCCCTTCCCATCTCCTCTCCCCCCCCCCCCCCCCCAGCCTTACTTTTTGCTAGTTAATTTTTGCTAGTTACTTTTCAGATAGGGTCTCTGGGCTACCCTCCGTAGCTTAGAGAATAGTCATGTCATGTCCAGCTTCCTTCTTTTGAGATGGAGTCTCATGGACTTTTCTGCTTGCTGCTAGCCTTGAACTGAAATCTTCCCCATCATGACCTTCCATATTGCTGTGATGGACAGTGTGAGCCATGACACTCAGCCATGGATTGAGAAGGAGGGTATCAGACTTCTTTGTTCAGACTGACATGGGATCTTGATCTTTCTGTTCTCAGCCTCTATGGTAGTTAAGAATACAGATATGAGTCCTGAATAGCACCTCCTTTTTTGCCATTCAGAAATTTGGGGTACTTTGCCGTTCCTTAGTCCTGTTATATATTACCCAGTCTTTCTATCCCTTTAGTTAAACTTCCTTCAGCCTCTATTCTAAACTGTCATACCCTCTAGGAGTTATCTATCTGATCCATCTGTGCTCCTGAAGCTAAAGTCAGATTGCAAATCTGACTGTATGCTACCCTCAGCTTGCCTGCTCCCAATACAAGCATTTATAATACCCTTCAGTGGCTGGGCGCCACAGCCCACACCTCAGGAGGCTGAGACCTGAGGATCGCAGTTTAAAGTTAGCCTGGACTCAGGAATGTCCAGAAGACTTTGATCACAAAATAGCTCAAAGTGGAGCCGTAGCTCAAGGTGGTAGAGCGCTAATCTTGAGCGAAAGTGCTCAGAGACAATGCTCAGGCCCTGAGTTCAGACACCCCCAACACATACACACAAAAAACCCTTTAGTGGATTGTTTTCTTTTTATCTTTGGTAGTTCTGAGGTTGAACCCAGGTCCTTGCACAGGCTGGGTAAGTGCTGTACGGCTGCGCTACACCCCAGCTCCTCCATTGCTCGGGGGCTCTTACGCATTCTCAACCCTCAGCCATGTATCGATCTCACACTGCATCTTTGTTCGAGGTACACTGGTCTTCCCAGACATTCTTTCCATGCTTCCCCTTGCTAACAGGTATTTGCACAAAGCTGCTTTCCTCTGGAAGTCATTCATATTTGTGCGGGTACCAGGGCCTTGAACTGGGGGCATCACATGGCTTTTTCACTTACACCTCAGAGCTTTACGTTTGAGCCATATCTCAAGTTCCTCAGGTTCCTGCTTTTTGCAAGTCTTGGGGTTTTCTCTTTCCTGGGTTGACTTTGAATTTTGATTCTCAGATGTCAGCCTCCTGAGTAGTTGGTATTAAACAGGTGTGAGTCCTTAGCACTCAGCTACACTTTTTTTTTTTTTTTTGGTCGGTCGTGGGGCCTGAACTCTGGGTCTGGGTGCTGTCCCTCAGGTCTTCAGCTCAAGGCTAGCGCTCTACCACTTGAGCCACAGCTCTACTTCCAGCATTTTCTGTGTATATGGTGCTGAGGGATTGAACATAGGGCCTTAAGCATACTGAGCCACCTTCCCAGCCCACTCAGCTACACTTTTAATTTTAGATGGGATTTTGATGTGAGGCCTGGGCTGGCCTTGAACTCCTGTGTAGCCCAAAGTGGCTTTGGATTCGATTCTCCTACCTCGCCTTCTGAGTGCTGGCAATATAAGTGTGCACTCTCATACCTAGCTTCTTTTCTACTTCTTCATGCCAGAACTAGATGGAAGCCTGAATCCTTAGGGAATAATGAAGAGCAGAAATGATTTATGTAAATACATATTAGGACTAGAGTCGTTGCAGTCCCCACCTTTTTTTTGGCTAATCCTGGGTGCTGTCTCTGAGCTCTTCTGCTGGAGGCTAGTACTCTACCACTCTGAGCCACTTCCAGTTTTTGAATGGTTATTTGGTAATAAGAATCTCATGGGGAGGCCCAGGGCTGGTGGCTTGTGCCTGTAATCCTAGCTACTCAGGAAGCTGAGACCTGAGGATTGAGGTTCAAAGCCAGCCCAGTCAGGAAACTCAGTGAAACTCTTATCTCCAATAACCGGAAGTGGCGCTATAATCATGTGATAGAGTGCTAGCCTTGAGCTGAAGAGCTGAGGGACAGTGATCATGCCCCAGAGTTCAGGCCCCACGACCGACCAAAAAAAAAAAAAAAAGAATCTCATGGGGACTTTTCTCCCTGGGCTGGCTTGGAACTTTGATCCTCAGATCTCAGCCTTCTGAGTAGCTAG